TCTACGGGCCCCCTGAGTATGCAGGCCCACGGTGCGGTTATGCTGCTGTAGTTATCAGTATTTGCAAGTGACTCCCTCTCATAATAAAATCACTGTCTTGTTTTCCGTATATGTTCTTTGGGATATAACCCTGCCATGGCTGACCCCAGCAAACTGCAGATGGAAACTGTTGTCCAAGCCTTTGCTAAACTAGTCTGATAGCTTTCAGAAATTATTCATAATTGCTATTAAAATGAACATTACCTCTTGCCGCAGCTGGTAATGAATAATATGTGCAAAGTGAACAATTGTGTATTTTGTTTTAATGACACACTAATTGCCTTTCCAGGTAATTATACCACCAGAAAGATGACAGCGAAAATTATGTGCTAATACTCACTGTTTTGCATTAAATGTTCCTCAAGATTGGAACTATTACATAGACGGAACAGCGCTATAACCCACAATGCTCAGTCAGGCTAAGCATCATGGGAAATGTAGTCCAGCAGATGCTAGAAATGCATAGAACAGTTATTTCAATAAATCAAAGTGGATTCTGTGTGGCTTAGAGAATTTTGATGGGATCCTGAGACCATAAGATCATATTAATAACCTTGGACCCCGCTAGGATAAATGGACCATACATGAGCAAATAGTAGCTATTCACCGAGCCACAGGATTCAATTTATGGTGAAACTGAGACACATATCATCTTTAAGCATTTATGTAATAGTTACATTTTATTGTATAAAAAAATTAAATACTTGGCACCCATTGAAGATAATTTTAGTATCCTGTACGTGTAACATATCATAGGCATTAATAGCATTCACATGCCCAAAATTTGTTACAAGAAAACCAAATGGCAGAACAATCCTAAAATGTATTGCAGGATGTAATAATTTATTTATTAAATATCATTAAAGCAGAGTATTAGAACAAGCTTAATCTGGAGTTATTAAGGTAAAGAAGGGTGCAAATAACAGCCAAAGCATGGTATGAGTGATGCTGATGCGTATATTAGATTTAAATTAGATTAAATGGTTGGAAACAATATTCTTTTGTTCATTTACAAATTATTTGCATTCTAATTTGTTTCAACGATATCTTTTAAAAAATAGTTAAAGTCTTATGAGAAATTGCATTAGTCTTAAGTCACTTAATAAAGAAAATGTCATACTGTATTAGCATATCACACAGAGTGTATTATAAGCAAAACTGCAGACATATTATGAAAGTTTTATTGTCTATAGTGGAACAAAGGAGTCCTTGTCAGTGTTTCATTTTCATAGTTATTGGTCAAGTTTGTTGCGCAAAGTAAAGTTTGCATTACAAAGCCGAGCAGCAGATATGGGTCCAGAAAAATAACACAGCCTTATCTGAATTGATTATAAAATTTTCATACTGAGTTTGTGAAAGGTGAATTATTAAATGTTCCAGGGAATATACAAGCAAATCAGACTTGAACTAAAAGTAGTCTATGTGTGATAAACAGGGCTCTGTATGGATAGATGAGAATTATTGACAATTTTAAGAGAATATCATGGTTTATAAGCTTTTTGTCACTCGGATCCACGTTGGCAATCTTGCTTTTGGCCAATCAGCCATTTTGACCATGTAACAGTTGACATCTTTATTGATTACCTGTCATCAGGAATTCCAAAATGGCCGGGCACTGCCAAAAGCACGATTAGGTTAGTCACGTATCATTTCTGTCATTCAGTACAACTTACTGCACAAGAGAGCCATAGCAAAAGAAAAAAATATATCTTGGTAGCTAAAGAGGCATCAGCCACTATTTCATTCAATAATCCAAACCAATTATTTAATAATGCAGTGGATGCTTGAGATCAGTCACATTAAACCTGTAGAATACAGTATTCGTGATGTAGTGTGTCCCTGTGCCAGTTCTCTAAAGTACCATGTTTATTTCACAGGAAGTCAGAGGGAATGAGGACGTGCTCTGCAAAATTTTATTTTAGAACTGAATAGGGCACAAAATGATCTGCTTTGTCAAGGGCATGTTTACAATATTACAATACTATCCTAGTCACACCGGGTCAAGTGGTCATCCAGCGCACAAACTATTTTAAGAATATAATTTTTTTAGCATGTGCATTACATGCATCACAAATGAAAAATATTAAACAAAAATAAATATAGAATAGTTACAATATTTAAAATTTTGGAATGTTGTACACAGTAAAGAACTCCAGCGCTTAGTGATGGCACAGCTGCGCAGTACAGTTTAGAGTTCACCTGTCATGAAAGATATAGGTGTGCTAGGTATCGGTCTTGACTCATGTTATACAACTGAGTGTTTCTTCCCTTAATGCACTAATATCTCTTTTCCTTTTTTTTTTATATTCTTTATTTTTGTAGTGCAGTGTAGAACAGCATAAGAATACATAGACCTTTCTCTTTGGGCAAAATAGCAATAGAAGATAACATGAAATACCTAGGGTGCTGTACTTTTTATAGATAAAGATAACAGGAACTCTGTTATATGCGGGTAAGGCAGGTTAAGATAAGGAAACATGGTGAGGCATAAAACCATAAGTATGCATGTATACAGATATAAACTACTGGGGTCTTAGATTTAAGCAGTAACAGATATTTGAGTGCCGGCCAAGAACATAAACTATATCGCAGGTAACTTGCAGAGTGTGGTCAGGATAGTTCCAACTCAGCTGCAGGTAGGAGTTTCTAGCTGTCAGCCATTTCCTACCGAGGGAGAGTCCCAGTCCCGGCAATCGATAATTTTCCTGATTTGGTACCTCCACTGTGCACGCTTACATAGACCGATCAGGAGTGTTTTCTGCAGTCTGACATCTCCACCATCAGCCGGAGTCCACCTACTGCATAGCTCAGGCGTCCGGCAGGGACGATAGGCCTCAAAGATACAAAGGTCGTGTCAGGTGGGTGCGTGCTAGTTAGCCCGTTGTTGGGGCGGGTTGTAACAGGCTTGTGGGCTTAAGTGATGTGGT